TAAGCTCCATGAGGGTAGGAGCTCATCTTCAAAAGCAGAGTATGCAGCACAGAGTAGGAAGCAGTAACTATCTGTGAGTGAGTAGATGATGATCTCCCTTAAGGACTAATCCCAGGAAGCATCCTGGTAGATTTCCTCAGAAGGCTAAGGATGCCATAGCCTTCACACCATACCTGGGTGGCCAGTCCAGTTCTCTCTCTTTTGCCCAGCTTGATTGGCCTAAAACACAGAACAGGAAGATGGAGAGAGCTCAGCTGCTGGCTCTCCCCTGGTCCCAGCATAGACAAGACAGGGCTGCATCTTGCCGACATGCTCATACCAACAGCAGACTCTACTTTAAACTGAAAAGTTCCAGGGAGCGGCTGAGGAGGAGGCACTTTAGAATATAGCCAAGTGGCTGGGAAGTGAGGAACCTCTCCCCTTCCCTGGTCCCTGACCCATAGAATGTAAGAAAGTGCCAAGGAGCTTCCTAGGATGGAAAGTTGATTGACTACCCCTAAGAGGAAAGCCTGGCAAAGACGAGAGTGTCTCCCTATATAGATATGCAATTTTATTCATGCTGACATTGATTGGTTCCTACTACCTGCCCTCGCTTGACAGCCACCGTGAACATAAGATGAATAAGACAGTCCTTGCCTTGAAGGAATTCATGACCAAGGGTAGAGAGAGAAGACAAAGCAGCAGGTCCCAATAACCTTAGTTAGAAGATTTAAGAGGAGGAAGAGGTCGTTTCTGAGATGGATGATAAGAAAAAGGCTTCCTGAAAAGGAAAGAGATTTCATTTTTTAAGGGGACAGAAGGAAAAAGCAGGTAGAGTAAATGGAAAAATAAAAAGTATAGAAGCATAGAAATGTCAGGCAGGTGCAAATTTGGCAAGTAGACTGGTGTAGGGAAGTCTGGAACCTGCATTCATTCAGCTTCCTTGTGTGGGTTGTTAGGTGAAAACTGACAGGCTACTTCTCTGATCACTCGAAGGTAATGCAGACAGATCTTCAGTCACTTAAAAATGCAAAACACAGGCTTTTTAGTAATCAGCATGCTCATCCAGTCATAACTTCAATCTTGCTTTAGAGTCATCCTTCCTGCCCTCTCCTGCCCCCTCCACACTTGGTCCTATTGCAGATGGAAAGCCTGAAATGAGAGAAAGGGTGTGGTCAGTGACCTCTCTAGTTCTCCACCCAGCCTCTCCTCCTCTTCTGTCATCTTATTGACTTTTGACCTGTTGAGGTTGTAAGCATAGACAGTGAGAGGAGTTCAGGGGATCAAGAAAGTTCTTTTTGGAGACTGTTGGGTAATCTTGCATTGGTGTTCTCTGGATGTGACAAATATCCAAGGCTTACTATTTCTCACACAGGGGCTTTTGGGGTTCCTTTGTAGATCCACCTTTCTCCTCATTCCCTCCACTATGGCTTGGGATTTTTCGCCTTGACTTAGAGCATGTGCATCTTTTTTTTTTCTTTTCTTTTCTTTTTTGAGACAGAGTCTTGCTCTGTCACCCAGGTTGGAGTGCAGTGGCACAATCTCGGCTCACTGCAACCTCTGCCTCGCGGGTTCAAGGGATTCTCCTGCCTCAGCCTCCTCAGTAGCTGTGACTACAGGTGCCCACCACCACACCTTGCTAATTTTTGTATTTTTAGTAGAGACGAGGTTTCACCATGTTTGCCAGGCTGGTCTCAAACTCCTGACCTCAAGTGATCCACCTGCCTCGGCCTCCCAAAGCGGTGGGATTACAGGCATGAGTCACCGTGCCCTGCCGGGTATGTGCACCTCTATTGTAGGTGGTCACTTCCACCTTCCTCCAGTCTTGGGCATCACAAGATACTGGCAGCTTCTTCCTACTATTGTCTATTTACCTTCCTCTTAGGCAAGATCTACAGTGACCCTGCATGGGTTCCCCTATACATGGTTCTCCTCCCACCCATATGCAACACTCATGCATTTCTGCCCCAGCAAACTCTGGGAGTGCAGGCCACTCAGTGCTGCCACCTTGCATTGTTCTGCCATCAGAGCAGCTAGCCAGCCCCTAGTTCAAACTTTAGACCTTCCAGGTAGGAGACAGACACTAATCCACTGTGTTTCCAAAACTGCAGGGGATAAGTATCAAGTCTTTGATGTGGTATCATAAAACCATTCTCTCTTGGCTTGAGAGAAAGATGGAACCCCCTTCCCACCTTCTTCTTAGCAAGAGTGTGAAGTGGAACTTGTGGTATGCCAAAAGCACCTTCCAAAAACTCTCTCCTAAAGTCAACCTCCAGCATTTTGTAATATGAAAAGTATGAGTGTGGGGCTAAGAATTATGTCATTCATTTTTATCCACCTCTCTTGAAAGTTCTGCACCCTTGTGCTCTTACACTTCCTTTGAAATGTGGTACCCACTGCCTCCATGCTTCAGCCAAAATGCCTTTTTAATATTTTGTTACATCAATTATTATTTCAGTTAACAGTCCCTATAACCCTATAAGAGATACAACTATTCTCATCTTAGAGAATAGGAAACTGAGCTTCAAAATGATTAAATAACTAGGCCAAAGTGGCAAAAACAGGTCTGAATTCAGAACGCTCTGATTCTAGAGGTCTTAGACCATTCTGAAATGGAGGATTCATGTGACCCAGCATAAGTGCTCAACAAATATTTGTTGAATGATGAAAAAGTTGATTTCCTCAGATAATAGAGGAATGTAAATGCCATAATTTTTGATAGGGAATGATAAACCATGCCGAGTCACAGATAAGCATGATCAACAGGAGAATGGAACAGAAATATACAAGAGAATTCAGAAGAGAGAAAGAGTGGAGTGGGAGAGGCACTTTAGGAGACTCCAAAGAGTTCACAGAGTTATAAAGGACATGGTTACTCTATTTTTCTAGAGTAATGAGGAAATTATCCAGAGACCAGGTTGAAAGAATTTAAGGAGAGCATGAGCAACAAGGAACTAGAGGCAGCAGTTACATCCCAGCTGTTCAAGATGGGAGCATCTGAATGGGGCAAAGAAATGGTTGCAAGCCAGTGGAGCCCAGAGGATCAAATAAAGGATATTTCTCCAGAATGGGTGAACCTTGATCTTATTTGTAGACTAAGGAGCCAGAAGATCAACTCTGAGATGCTGGGGAAAGGAGGGAAATAAGGGCAGTAACTAAAAGAGCAAAGACTGGGGAAGAGAAAATGTGCAGGGCTAACATGGAAGATAGTAAAGGATGCAGCTTCCTCTAAGAGAAAAAGAAAAGAAAGGGGGATAAATAAATAAACACTTTGCCCACAAAAAAGAGAGAAGGGGGCTGAAGGATATTGTACCTGACATAGTAGATCTTTCTCAGTAAAGTAGAAATCAGTGGATCAGGAGGTGGGCATTAGGGGGTGACAGTGTCAGTATGTAAGGTGACAGTGTCAGTATTGAAACACACATTGTACTATGTGTGTCCAGAAATCAACTGTGGAAATCAACAGAGAATGAACAAGTACCACCTCACATCCAGGGTATTGAGATTCAACAGTCTGAATTCATGGAGGTTCAAATTACCAATATTCTGCAGCCAAGGAGCAAAAGGAGAAAGCATGTGTCAAGCATGAGCCCAAGCTAGGCATTGCATGGCATGGGCTGAGAGCTGAAAGGGTTTACAGTTAGCAGGGGTAGAGCTGAAATTTCCAAGCATGGCATCCAGCTGGTACAAGAAAGCTAAGTGAGGCCAGAAAAAAAATTAACAGATTCATTCATTTATCCTAGGAGGTCTCAATGGTGATGCATATTGGCTACCCAGGTTATGGAGAAATGGGAAAGGTATAAGTGAAGAGTCTGTGGTTATAGACCAGGCTTATAAGGTCCAGGGTCTCAGAAGTAGATCAGTCCCTGAGGGCCCTAATGCCCTGGTGTGACCTTATTAGTGAAGGGTTTGTATGCAAAAAAGTGGGAAGTTTGGGGCTGCAGTCATCGTTCTTAACTTCTTCAATCAAATTGTGAGGCAACCATGTATCAAGGACTGGAAGACAAAGGAGTGGCAATTTACAGAAAAGCAGGTATTTAAAGAGAATCAGTGAAAAGGGGGTACCTTTACTCTGATGAAACTGCCAGTTTGCCATAAGACATATTTTACCTTTCTTTCTACAATAGCTACTATTTTTTCTTACAAGATCTGAACAGGATTATTTTGGGCAATGATATGATGTAGTTGTCCTAAGTTTTTAAACACAAAGACGAGGAACCTTGTTTATAGCATGTCCTACCTCTGAATATGACTGTACTTAAACTCTCCTAGAAAGGTTATTAGTTACAACTCCCTTTCAAATGTTTAGGAACAATGCCACAGAAACTTTTAATAAAGACACAATCAAAAACAGACAGTTGTAACTTCCTTTTGGCAAAGTGGGCATCCTCTTTGAAAGACACCCATATTAAAAGATCTTGGTTTGTAGATTTTTGTCTGGCCTTTGCCTGCCAGTGGCCACAGGTATCAAGTCATTGGGTCTTTAGTTAGCTGACACGTGACATGGCACCATTCAAATGAGATTATTAGAGTCTTTGGGGAAGAGATATAAATCTATGATACCTAAATCACTAACAGAAACTGAGTCACGAAATCATTTGTCCAAGGTCGCAAAGTGAATCTGTCCAAAGGTCACAAGTGAATTCTTGCCACAGGCAAGAATCTTTGGCTACTCTTTAGGAAGTTCATTTACTACCCCACTGATCTTGATATCACCTCACAGGCAGAATCTTGTGAAGGATAGTATGATAATATTTACCTGAACAAAGTTCCAAAACTGCCCATCAGTTGTCCCTGCCCAAGAAAAAAAATTAACAGATTCATTCAGTTATCCTAGGAAACAGGTCACTTGAACTTCATTGAAAGCCTCTTGGGAAGACAGGTGGTGGGCATCCAGCTCTTCTCACCAGGCTGAACCCAGCCGAGTCTCTGGCAAGGTCCTTGAAGCTTCAGTGGAGAATTCCAGAAAGTAGAACTTTCAACAATCATACCTTGTCCTCTGACTCTTCTCGCCCTCACAGCTCCGAATGTCCTGGCTCATTCGTGGAGTCCTGAGGGGAAACGTGTCCTTGGTGCTAGTGGAGAACAAAACTGGGAAGGAGCAAGGCAGGATGGTCTGGCATGTCGCCGCCTATGAAGGCTTGAGCCTGTGGCAGTGGACGGTGTTGCCTCTCCTCGACGTGTCTGACAGGTAGGCCTCTACCCATCTCCCCCAATACCCTTCTCCTCTATCAGCTAAAATGCAAAAGGAATCATGCCTTCTCTTTCCCCATGCCTGTCACCCAAGACGCACATGCAGATGTGCCCCCACACAGATATGCACGCACGCGCGCGCGCGCACACACACACACACACACTCTCTCTCTGCAGGTTACACACTTTCTGCAGTTTACAAGCTTCTCCAAGGGATGATGAGGCTACTGAACACTTGTCTCAGGACCACCGGTATGTCCTGGTTGGCTACCCCTAGTGTCTGTAGGAAAAACAAAATTGAACAACTCACATTACTAGCAAATAACAGTTTGGTTTTACATGTATATAGCATGTTCTCTTACATGATGGACTTTGCTTTACTTTCCCATTTAACTTTTATTTTATCCTTATTAACAAGAAAACCTGCAAGGTAGGTAGGGCAGGCCTTATCATCATTTACCACTCCTGTCCTGTTCTAAGGAGAGAAACAGAATCAAAGTGGTGAAGCGCCAGCAAGTTGGTATCAGAGTTGGGACTGGTACCCAGGCCCGACTCTGACTCCAGTGCTCTCTGTTGAGTCAGGTCCTGAGGCAGGTTGATAAGGAGGATGGCAAATTATTCAGTAAACAGAGGAGTGCTTCTACCTGGGGTCCTGGTTCCTATTTGGGCTCTATCACTAATGGCCTCTGTGACTTTGAACAACATCCTTGACTTCTTTGGGCCTCAGTTTCCTCGCCTTTAAGCTGAGAGGTTTGAACTGGAAAATCATTAATTCCACACGACTCTCCAATGGAGCAGGAACCATGGAGGGTTTGCTGCTACTTGTCTCCCCAGGATGACACTATTCTGCCACCTGCAGTCGGCCTGGAGCAAGCCGTGCTTGAATAAAGATGGCCCTGCATGGCAGCACTCATGTGACCCTGCCGTATCATCCTGAACCCTTATGGTGGGTGCTGATCTGTTCCAGACAAAAGAGGGCCGAGGGACCATTTCTATAGAGGGTACAGATAAATGGATCTGGATGGGGGAGAGCCATCTTTTATGGGCTAAAAGTCAAACCTTACAACCCAGAGCAGCCTCTGCCTAAGACTCCTAAAACACATTCAAATTACCATCCTGGTGGATCCACCTTCAAAAAATGAGGGCAGAGGGCTCAAGGCAAGGTGGAGGGTGATGCTAGTTGGCATGCAGCTTTATAAGTGTAAAGCTGGGTTTCACATTTTTCACCCAAACCCCACAGTCTGCTATGTCCAAGAGCTCATAACTGCATCAGTGCTGTCAAAGGATGAAGGCATTGTCCTCACTCTGAGCACCAGCTACCCACTCCTTCAGATGTGTGTGGGTTAAAGACATTAACCCACCCAAGGACATTCCAAGAATCAGTGACCCCAGGACAAATGGATTTAAGTGGAGAAAGAAGAAGTGTGAGCTCTGCCCACTATAGTTTAGTTTTTTGTCTTTGGGGATTGTGGAGCTGCATGCAGTTGGTGGAGAACAGGAGGGTCGTGAAAGAATCCTCCCTCCTGGGAGAGGCAAAATTAATTCAGATGAATCAAAAGGTTTTTTTTTCTCCTCAATCCAGCAAGTCTTCTCTCTTTCATAGCCACTCCAGGGGATTTAAAGCAAGTAAGATGTTGACTCTGTTCGCTCTCATCCTCTAGAGTTTCGTTTGAAGGAGACTTTGTTCTCAGCCTCCTTCTTCCCTGTTAAAGGCTGTTTACCAGACTGACATTTCCAATATTGATACTGAGACCAAACTGCCCAGTGGGGATTCAGACAAAAGACAGCTTGGTTTGATGATGTCTCATGACCTAATAAGTGTACAATTACAGAAAAGAAGAGTGCTTCCATCCACTGGGAGCCTGCGTACCACTGACATGCTCTGAGGTTGGAAGCTGCCCTCCCAGAGGTACAGATGATACAGGAAGCATCAAGACCCAGAGGCAAATGGTACTGAAGGAAAATGAGGTGCAGCAGTTTTCATTTGCTAAAATCAAACTAGACTGTAGATGTGACTGGCCCAAAACATCTAAAGAAGCACTCTGGATGAAAGTGCAGAGGCTTTGGAATCAAAGAGTGCCCAGTTTCAAAACTGACATGGTCACTTACTAGTTGTATGACCTCAGCCAATTAAGCTCTCTAAGCCTCAGTGTCCTCATTAGTAAAATGAGGATAATAACAGTATAATTTCACAAGATTGTTATGAGACTAAATGAAATGACTGTTGAAAGAGTCTACCCAGAGTAAGTATTAATAGATTTTATTTTCTGCATCTTCCATCCTCATCTTTCAGTTATTTGGTCTCCATAATAATTTATTAAGCAAATAGCACAAATCACAAACACTGATATTCCAAGTCAAGCCATGTTCTATAAAACAGACAACACAGTCTCCTCTTAGGTTTGGAGAAGTAAAGTGCTTGGTTAACTACCTGATCCACACTAAATGCTCACTACTAATGATCGTAGTATAATAATGACAGTATCTCCCCACCTAATGCCTCAGAAGGGTCTAGGATGACCTCTTTAGCAATATAACCAGTCATCCAACTCTTAGATAAAGGTGGACTTCTTAGGAATTTGTTTTCTCAATGCTCTATTGACTCCTTATAAGGAGAAGTCACTGATGGAAGAGCAAGTGTACTCCTCCCTCTTCCTTCAGGGAGAGTCAGCCATAGCTGCCCAGATTGCTAGAAGATGAAGGGGAGAAAGGAGAAGGTAGAGAAGAAATAAGCGAGGAAAATAGAGAAATAGAATGGATAAAAGACGAAGGAAAGCCAGCTCTCTTCCTCCCACCTCTGAGATAGGCGTTAACACCTGGCGCCACCCGTCCCGCATCCTATGAAGCTTCCTTAGGCAGCTCCTGGCTTCAGCTATTCAGCACCTGCCTTGTGGACAGCTCCCCAACCCTGAACCTTGAAAGCAGCAGAAATTTTATTCCCTATGCTGTCCCAAATCACCTCTGCTCCCAGGTTCCTCAACCTTCACACATTACGAAACTTTTAAAGCAACTTTATTAGGGCTTAGAAGTTAGCACTTAAGAGATTCCAGGCTCTAGTCACTGGTATTGGCCCTGGCTGTTACATGAAATATAAATCTGACCATTTTCCTATTTTGGAAATCCTTCTGTGGCTTCCTGTGGCTTTTGGGATGCCTTTCAAACTCCCTGATAAGACCTTTATTTAAGCCCATGTGTGATCTGTCCAGCGCTAATTTCACCAGCTGCTTCTTTTTTTTTTTTTTTTTTTTTTT